AAATCCTTCATGCAAGATCATTCAACTGGCACACGTGGATCCTATAAAATGGCTGTCTTGTTATTAACGAGAATCAGCAAGCCACACTCACCATTATACGATAGATGCCCCTAGGCACTGCTGTAACTCTATAGTCTTTTTGGAACAACACCAATCGGCCATCTCGGGTACAAAATCTAAGACATAATTTAACAAGTCTTAATATTTCTAAACTTTAGAGGCTTATGGTTAAAACAGAATGAAGTAAGCTCTGCAAACTTGAGAATTCGCCCTCATCCCCTATTCACTGCTAGGGACTGGACAGTAATCTTAAGACTCTCCTGTTGCTCCTTCCACCTGCCCCTCAAATCCTTCTCTTATATGGCGCTCATCAAGACCACTATTTTTCTCTGACACGTAGGAGTTAAACAACTTTGGGCTGAAAAGCAGGATTCAGAAATTCTGAGGTGATTAGAAAAGGCCTGAAAATGCTGTTTCCCTTGTTATATATATACATTTTTAAAGATTTTATTTTTTCCTTTTTCTCCCCAAATCTCCCCAGTACCTAGTTGTATTTTTAGTTGTGGGTCCTTCTAGTTGTGGTATGCGGGACGTCGCCTCAGCATAGACTGACGAGCGCTGCTGTGTCTGCGCCCAGGATCCTAACCGGCGAAACCCTGGGCCGGCGAAGTGAAGAGTGAGAACTTAACCACTCGGCCACGGGCCGGCCCTCCCTTGTTATATATATATATATTTTTTTAAGATTTTATTTTTTTCCTTTTTCTCCCCAAAGCCCCCAGGTACACAGGTGTATATTCTTCGTTGTGCGTCCTCCTAGTTGTGGCATGTGGGATGCCGCCTCAGCCTGGTTTGATGAGCAGTGCCATGTCCGCGCCCAGGATTCGAACCAACGAAACACTGGGCCGCCTGCAGCGGAGTGCACAAACTTAACCACTCGGCCACGGGGCCAGCCCCTCCCTTGTTATATATATATAATATATATATATATATTTTTTAGATTGGCACCTGGGCTAACAACTGTTGCCAATCTTTTTTTTTTTTTTTTTTTCCTGCTTTATTTCCCAGACCACCCCCCCACGCCGTACATAGTTGTATATCTTAGTGGCAGGTCCTTCTAGTTGTGGGATGTGGGATGCCGCTTCAACGTGGCCTGACGAGCGGTGGTGCCATGTCCGCGCCCAGGATCCGAACCCTGGGCTGCCGCAGCGGACCGCGCAAACTTAACCACTCGGCCACAGAGCCGGCCCCCTTGTTATATTTTTTAAAAATTCTCCACAAAAACTTCCCCTCCTGCTAAATACAGTGGAGTAAAAGGATTTCTGTGATCTCTAGAAAGCTATTCCTTTGAGACGAGCTTGCAACATTGTATTGCCCTTCCTCATGTCTCTGGACTTCATGATGATCCTAATATCTCCCTGGTTATCGTGAATCAGCTGTTTTTGTCCTTCACGAGCTATGCTGAGAGCTTTACGAGGTCACTACACTAGAGAGAAGTAGGCTTACCTGACCCACTCTTGCTAGTTCAGGGCAGGCTTCTTAGAGCAGTCAATGTCCAAGCCGGGACCTGAAGCAACAGAAACCACGCACATTCAGGAGACTAGGGATTGCAGGAACTTTAATATGTTTAGACCTCAGAGTACACAGCAAGGAAGGCAAGAGACTGGAGACGTAAGTGGGGGCTTCGTATGCCATGTTAAGGAACATGGTTTGTACTTTCTCTTGGAAGAATGGCATAGGCATCAGCAGGAGCTTCTGCTGATTTCCACTTCTTCCACACCACTCAGTGGGTGATGTGTACTGAGGAGTCCAGTTAGAGAGTACAACTCTACATAACATCTTCACCCACACACACGTACCCAATCCACTCACTTTCCCAAGCTGCGGGACCCTACGTCTTCTAGTATTATCAGAGAAGAAAATAAAGGACTGGTTCTGCCCTCAGCTGGTTGGCCCAATTGTATCTTCAGTAGGAGAGGTCTATAGGGAAACTGGTCCATAGGTTCTGTATAACCTTTTCTAGATGGGGGTCTAGGTAAGTGATAAGAATTGGGGAGGGGTTGGCCCAGTGGTGCGGCTATTAAGTGCGCACGTTCCGCTTTGGCGGCCTGGGGTTTGCCAGTTCGGATCCCGGGTTTAGACATGGCACCACTTGGCACGCCATGCTGTGGTAGGCGTCCCATATATAAAGTAGAGGAAGACTGGTATGATGTTAGCTCAGGGCCAGCCTTTCTCAGCAAAAAGAGGAGGATTGGCAGCAGTTAGCTCAGGGCTAATCGTCCACAAAAAAATAAATAAATAAATAATCAGGGAGCTACAGAGGTGGGAGCTGAAGAAGGAAAAGTGTAGTTAAAAATCTGATCTGGTCTTTAAAAAATATCCAATGATACCACCCTACAAGGATAACAGGGATTCCTAACTGACTTTAAATTAGATTACTGCCCCTGATAAACGGAAAGCTGGAAGTTTAGCATGTTCATTCTGTTAAGCTTGCGTGAGTCCAAGTGCTATTTCCTTTCACCTGATCCTATCCTTCTCCTCCTGGGAAGCTCAAGGTGGCCATGAGATACAGGGTGAGACCACGTTTGGAAAGCACTGTTAGGTGAACAATGGTAATAAGCCATTCTAGTATCTTCCTCCCCACCTTCCTAACTGAGTCAGGCACTTTCATTTCCATGGCTATGAGATCACAGGATAGAAAGATGTATTCCCAAAGGGAGCTATAGCATCACGCTACCCTTACAGGCAAATCCAAGTCATACTCAGGCCCAAGTTAATCACTAGAACAGTCACAAAACACCTAAATAACTTTTAGGTGACTTTCTAATAAACAGCAAAGTAACATGGATTTTCTTTACAAAACATCAAAGTATTCTGAGACCGGGGACACTTCTAAGAGTTTATTACTGCTGTTGGATTTTCATTCTCAGAAATAAGGAGAAAAACCAAGGTTTACTGAGTACTTGATGTCTACCAGTTGTTCAGGTGTGTGCTTTATACAATTTACTCATAAAGCCCTATGTATTAGGTATTTATCTTCATTTTATAGATGAGGAAACCGAGGCTCAGAGAGACTGAGTAATCTGACCAAGGTGCTGTATAGTAATGGGTGTTGCAAGCAGTAAAAAACCCAAGTCTTTTTGTTTCTAAAAACACATGGTCTTTTTACTGCACCACATTTCTATTCCAGTGACCAGATACATCTATTTCTCTAATCTAGAAAGAAAGATTGGATGCATCACCCACGGCCGCCTAAATTCACAAAGTACCATAAGTAGTGACATTATCTGAGAGACTATTTAGTCCTTGGCTTTTGAGTAACCATAAACTTTTCTACTCTTCTTCAAGTTGAAAGTATACTAGGGTGATGGTTTCCAAATGATGAGGTTTTCATTATCTTTGGCAAAAGAGAGAAAAACAAGGTAGTCAATTTTTTCAAAAAGCTAGAGTTACAAATGTAAAGGACTTCTTATCACTCTAAAATTACTCTTTCTCTACCCCTCCCCTCCCTCCTTCCCTTCCCTCCCATCTCTGTGTGTGTTCTGATGTCTTTTTCTTTTTTTAATGAAAAAATGGAGCTGATAGAAAGTAGTAGGCTTTTTAATGTGCTTACTTGATGAAATGAAAAGTGGGCAACTCCACTGAAAGAGTGTGCCCAATAGATACAATCAAAACAAAACACTTGATTCTCCTCCCCAAGGTTCTATTCACATTTGTTAGCTATGCCCTTCCCTGACCCTGAATGAAACCACCTTGGGCACGCCCTATAGCTTCCCTACTGACCTTTAGTTAATAAGAGGTTCTCTGGTCACAATTAATACGTTCAGACTGCTTAATAATCAAACTCCACACTTAATACTAAGGTAATGCTTTTCCTCCACCAGCTCAGGCCTGCTCCAGGCTGGAAGCCTGCAGTGGAGGAGGGAGACATACGCTGACCTTCGTCTCTTTCAGCCTTTCTAGCTGCCTTCCATGCCCCCACCCTACACACACAATGCGTTTTGGCTTCTGACTGCACCAGGTTTGGGGACGAGAAGGAGTATGAGTGAAACAAAGCACTGGTTTTGATTAGTGGCACAGGTGACATCTGGCTTTTGTTTTCTCTGCACACGGCAGAGGTTTACATTGCATACAGTATTTGCAAGCTGCTAAGAAAGTAAATCTGAAAAGTTCTCATTGTAAGAAAAACAACTTTCTTACTATGTATGGTGACTGATGGTAACTATACTCACTGTGGTGATCATTTCGCAGGGTGCATAAATATCGAATCATTATGCTGTACACCTGAAACTAATATAATGTTATATGCCAATTATTCTTCAATTAAAAAAAAGGAAAGATAGTTCTCTTATGGGAGTTTTCATGTTATCCAGCCACATTTCTGCCTCTCAAAATTTTTCTCAGTGGCCTATCACCATTCAAGACCAAAACAAAAACCCAATGAGTACCCTCTGGGTGTCATGCACTGTACCAGGTGCCAGGATATTTACCCAAACTCCTGGCAACCCAAAAACACAATGAAAAGAACATATTAGAAAAATAAATAAAATTTTAGTATCAAAGTTATGTTAACTTCTAACTTTTCAGCTGCATTTGGTCATAAAGTCTTCCTTTACAAGATGATTGCTATTGTAAAAAAGGGATAGGTCATTAATAGTCTCATTTCTCACATGTTATTTGACATATGCTCTAAATCACATTACCTCCAACACAGGGTGCACTTTGAACTTGTAAGCAGAAAAACTATCTTTAGGCAGTATGCATTCTAATTCTTGAAATAAATGTGCCCACAAATTGTAGTTTAAGACAGAGTAGGTATGCTTATAATGTTTGAATTCAGTTGAATTTCAGGAGAGGAGCTAAGGAATTTATAAAAAGACAACTAGAATGGGTTGGCATTTGGGTAGTTAGGTGACCTCTTGAACTTTAAACCTCCACATCACGGAGTGAAGTCAGTTCTAAGATAAGAAATAGAATAAATTCTCTCCTAAGGACAGATCTGAATCTCTGATTGCCCAGAGGCTGACCCAAGACATCATGGCGTTTGATGGTACTTGGAAGGTAGACCGGAGTGAGAACTCTGACGAGTTCTTGGAAAAAATGGGTAAGGGCTTAATTCTTTAGTGGCTCATTCTTTTGTTTCTCACAGACACTTTTCTTTCTACCTCCTTCTAAACCTCTAGGCTTAGGGAATGGCTCCTATTGTGGCAGCGAGGATCCAGACTATGTGATGTGAACGATATTCTCACTTCTTACTTTAGGAAGAAAAGATTCTTGGGTGCTGTCCTCTGAAACACAGAAAAGGTCCAAATATGCTTCACATTAACTGCTAATTCAGCCTATATCACTGAAAACTGACCTTTTTTGGTTTAGAAAGTAAAAAATGGCAGTGTGCAATGATAATTTCCAGACTTGAAAACATTGAATTCTAAGGTATGGAAAAGCAAAGAGCATAGAATAAAGTAACGGAAAAGAGTCCTATAAAAATTCACAGCTCTGAATAAATGAGACTTAATTCTCCTTTCCTCTGACTTATAAAATTTGGGGAAAAATCTCATGATGCTACATCGTTTCTATGGCGGTTTTAATTCAACAGATTTTAATATCTATACCAATACTCTGGCAGCCCATACATTGCACAAGATGGGGAAATAAATTTCTATCATTTCCCCAAAATAAAAATCTACATCAATTATATCCTACAGTTCAGGAATTCCAAGTTTAAATTTATGAAATTTGTACATTCTTACAATAATGGATTTAACTATAATATTTGCTAATTTTCTCAGTTTTGTGACGGTTAAAAATGCCACAGAAAACTTAGCAAATTACGAAGATCAAAACTTAAAAGCCATTATGGAGAGCAAATGGGCATTAAAAAAAGAATAACGCATACGCGGAATTAACGTTGTACATCCTTATAAACATAATAATATACTTTTTAATCTTTCATTTAACATTTCTGGAATTTGATTTACTTAATGCTGAAATGAAAAGTTTGATAACTTTTTTGCAAATTTTTTTTTTTTTGAGGAAGATTAGCCCTGAGCTAACATCTGCTGCCAATCCTCCTCTTTTTGCTGAGGAAGTCTGGCCCTGAGCTAACACCCATGCCCATCTTCCTTTATTTTATATGTGGGACACCTGCCACAGCATAGCTTGCCAAGTGGTGCCATGTCTGCACCTGGGATCCGAGCCGGTGAACCCCAGGCCGCTGAAGAGGAATGTGCAAACTTAACCGCTGTGCCACGGGGCCGGCCCCGATAATTTTTTAAAAAATTACTCAGTTCTAAGATTTTACAATTCTATGCTTCATTTAACGTTTCTTAAGTTTTAGAAAAATAGCTTGAAATCAGTACTCTAGATCTGACTGAGCTTGAACTTTTTCCACAGAAGCATCTGAATGCTCTTGTGCAAAGGCAACGCTGTCAGGTTTTCCTACCCACCCTTAAAATATAAACAAATAAACAAACAAACAATGAAACAGAACTTGGAAAAATAAACACTTCTTATGGCATTTTGACTTTTTTTTCTCCAATCTCTTTCCCTTTGCAGGTCTTGATACAATGAAAAGGAAGCTTGCAGCTCATGACAATTTGAAGCTGACAATTACACAAGAAGGAACAAAATTCACGGTCAAAGAATCAAGCAGTTTTCGAAAAAGTGAAATTGTTTTTGAGCTTGGTGTCACTTTTAATTACAAGCTAGGAGACGGAACTGAAGTCAGCGTAAGGAAATTTTTATAAGCAATGCATTCTTGACTTTTCTACACAATACTAAAATAAACTCTGCTCTCTGTCATTGGATGTTTTAATTAACGTAGGTCTCCTTCATTGACTGAAGTGGCCAATGGAGTTTATCTACATTACATATTGCACAAATTGGCAGAGTATTTAAATATAATGCTTTTATTTTCATACATGTCTGTAAAGAATCTGGATTGAACAATAAGAGTAAGACAAACATCCTTTGAATGACTGAGTGCAGTCCTAGTTATAAAGAAAACTAAAGCTCAGCGTTTTCAACTTTACATACCTGACAACAACAAAAGATTTCAGAGTTATCTAACTCAAAATAGGCATTTAATAAATGTACTAAAATAATAAAATAAACGAATAAATTAGTAAATGAGTGAGTGACCAAATGGAAAGGTCTAATGCTACATGGTTTAAGACATAAAATTTTAGAGAGTCATATTTTTCAATTAATTTTTTAAAAACCTTTTTATCCTCGGGCTGGCCCTGTGGCTGAGTGATTATGTGCTGGGGAGAAGAAGAAGAAGAAGAAAAAAAAAAAAAAAGACGTACAGATGTTAGCTTGGGCCAATCTTAAAAAAAAAAACTTTTTATCCTCACAATTTGTCAGTTAAATTATATCTGTTTGCAATGATAATTAAACTGTCAAATATTTTACCAATTATGGCCATTTTTTAACTACTACAACAATTATACAAATTAAAACAAGCAGAGAGTTGTTAGCCTCTTCATGAAACTAATTCGAACCATGACTAAATTTAGGACACTCTTTTTAACATGAAAGATTTAGAAAAGAGAAGCCCTGATCATCTGCCTTAAAATTCAGCATTTACAAACTACTGAATGAGACGAGCATAACGGTTACCAGCACATACTCTAAGAACCCCAAAGCCCAGGTTTAATCGTGGCTCTGTGACTTTAGGTAAATTACAGTGTCTCATTTTTATCATCTGTAAAATGGAGCTAATAACATCGACTTCGTAGGGTCACTGTGACGAAGTAGATCTATAGAACTCAGACCAGTGCCCAACACATGGAAAATGCTATTTTATTATGATGTTTTTATTTTTATATAGGGGAGTTGGAACGCAGAGGGAAATAAACACGTTGGAAAATTCAAACGGTTAGACAACGGAAATGAACTGACTGTCATCCGAGAAATCATAGGTGGTGAAATGGTCCAAGTGAGTTATAAACAGATTACACCTATCTCCCAAGGACAAAAATAACTACATGGCAATACTTTTGGTCTTGTGGTTGCTGAGTTATCTCCAATAAATAAATCATTACTTTTCTCATAAATCTTATTGATTTTAAAAATATAGATATTTTCTGATGCCTATTTATTGAAGGAAACTTATATATGTCCAATACATCGATGCCTATTTTTACCGAAAATGTGACTACAAACCAAAATGGGTGTATCCTGTATCTGTATAAAATGTCGCTATCATGTACAAGAAAAAAATACCATGAACTCATTTCAAAGCTATAATACTACTAATATTTTTCTTAATTTTTTCTTAATTTAGCCTTAAATCTTAATGGCAAATTCTTCTATGTTTGTTACCTTTCAGACTTACATATATGAAGGAGTAGAAGCCAAGAGGATCTTCAAAAAGGAGTGAGCATTGTTCTTGGAGCCAGCCCAGAACGCAAAGTGGATGGAAAAGCTATATTGTACCAGAATTGTTTCTCTCTCCTCATCAAGCATAAAGTTACTGACTGCTTGGTCCTTTTAAAAGCATTGGCCAATGGCTTATATTTCCACTCTTGCCAAAGCAAAAGCAGTAAAAGCTAATTAGGATTTAATTTGTTCTAGGTTCTTTAAAATGTACATTTATTGGCATTCTAAGAGGATTTGTGACATTTTTAAAAAGAGATGAATAAATATTGTTCCCACATTGTTCTATAAGTAGCCTCTTTATTCAAAAAAAAAAGCTACATGACATTCACATTAATAGACTATTTTGGGTTTTTTCCCCATATTTGGTAAGCGAAAAACATGAATTGCATGGGGTCTTTAAAATCTTGCACTGGCTGTAAATATTTTCCTTATAACATCTATTATTATAAAAATAATATATGCTCAACCAGAAAACTTAGAAATAAGAAAAGCAAATGCAAAATAAATATTTCCATAAACCCACAATCCAGGGAGAATCACCATTCTGACTTTAATAGATATCCTCCCAGTCGTCTTCTCTGGGTGTGGATTTGTACACTTCCCCATACCTACCACTTTGAATAATATGATAGGAAACAAATGATGCACTAAGGTAAAGAACTGTATTACGTTTGTCTACATAGGCAGTGATTCCCAGACCTGGCTGAGAATCAGGAACACCTGAGAAACTTAAAATGTTTTTGCATATTTAATCTCCACTGTTAACCTACTAGGTCAGAATCTCTGAAAATAGAACTAGGGATTTTAGAAACACCCCAAGTGATTCATTCTGATGCAGCAGGTCCACTCATGAGTCCTGGAGAACAAGTAGGCTATTGGATACCAAAAATGTCACCTTCAACTGCTACCCCTCTTTACAATTTGCCAGGGCCCAAAAAGTTTCCTCTTAGTCATATTCTCACATGACGTACTAGTTTATGTATTTGAAGCAATTGTATTTTAGCGGGTGTGTATTAGCGGGTAGAGAGGGAGGTCAATTTTTTCAGCATTTAACTCTACAGACTTTTGTTTTGATTAACGATTTAATTCTTTTTCGTACCAATCAAGGTGAGTGCTAACATTTATATAGGTCTTACCACGCACCAGGCACCGTTCTCAGCAGTATATACATACGGCAGATACATTACAATGTGGCGAGAAAAATATTTGAGTACATGATGAAAATGAAGAGATTTGACAATACATATCTGGATCTCTTTTTGTGTTTCAGAGGACAGAACTCAAATAATCTTTTTTTCCACTAGTGAGACAGTGCAGTCTTCCTAATGTAAGAAGTGAGAATATGCTTTTCCCTACTCTGAACCATCACATTCTGCATCCTCACTGAAAGAACAGGAGCCATCCCGTAAGCCTAGAGCTCTAGAATATGTAATCTTCTGCAAAAACAACTTAAATCTACTGTTCATTTCATAACTTCATTAAAAACTTCACATAGAAAATAGTAATTATTTTGATTTTTCCATGCTTTATTTCACGTTTTTTTAAAATAAAAGTTCAAAGTACCTTTATCTCTCTATTCTTACTTGTCTATGTATATATAAGAGGAAAAGGACAGATACTAATCTCCTTTGAAAGTGGAGAAACTACGGCACAAAGCAGTTTATTAGCTTGTCTAACGTACAGAGTCCATGATGAACACAGTAATTAAATGTCAATCATGACTTTCAGTCCAGTACATTATGATCTATGCTATTACTTGGCCTATTATAAACAAAAATACCTTCAGAAAAAAATGTCCCTTGATTCCTTAGTGGCATCTAAGAATAGCACTCCAAATGAGTCAGGTCAGACCATAAAATAACGGCAATTAAGTGGTTAGGCACTTTTCTATTTCTAGCCTCACTGTGGGCTCACTTTTTTCACAATTTATATCCTTTCCAGTATTAAATTTCCACTATTTATTAGTATTAGAGACCAGCCTATCATTTGCTAAGTGGCTGCCATTGCTATAACCCCCCTTTGGGAAACTGACCTTGACATCACGCCAACTTGACTGATCAGGAAAGGCCGCGTGACTCAAGAGCAGCCAACCTACCACAGTGTGGCCAGCTTACCAACTCTGTGCAGAAGGAACCAGACAACTAACTGAACTTCGAAGACCCTCTCCTTAGGGAATTTGAATCTGAGCAACACATAGTAGTCGGTAGGTAGGAAATAGGTTTAAAGAGGACAAAGACGGCAAGAAGTGAGTAAAAGTCACAAGTATGTGAAACTACAAGCAAGCAGAAGCCGCAGGGTAGAGAGCAGAACAGAGGGACGGTTAGAAGCAGCTGGAATAGTAAAAGCTGAAACACTTACACATGAAATACGGTATCTAGCATTTGCTTCACATTGCTTCCTCCCCCGTCTAGGGTTGGGGAGATAGTTGGGAAGGGTACCAGTGAAACAAGATTGGTCACAAGTTGACAACTGTGGCAGCCATTGAAAAGTACCTGACACATGATAAGTTCATTGGGTACCCTGTAGGAACATGGGAATTCATTACACTTTTCTCCCTATTTTTGGATGTATTTGAAATTTTCCTTAACAAAAAGTTAAAACCATAATACTTAAACACATATGTAACTCCAGAAGCCATCCACTTCCCATCACTCCCATTGCTATCACTTTGATCTCAGTCACCATCATCTTCCCCCTGGATTACTGTAATAACCCCTAAGAACCTCCCCTTCTACCTTCCCTACCCTACCTCCCTAGTCTCTTTTTCAACACAGCAGCCAGAAGGATCCTTTAAAAATCTAAATCAGATCATGTCACTCCTCTGCACAAAACAGTGCAATGTATCCTATTTCACTCAGAGAAAAAGCCAATATCCTTAAATGGCCCACAAGACCCTATGTGATCAGATCCCCCATTACCCAGATGACATGTATTCCTGTTTTCATGGACTATCTGGGTAACCATCACGTGGAGGAAACACCCTGGGCAAAGGCCTTAACAAAGAAGCAAGCCTAGTAAATGTGAAGAACACAGATAGCCTGGTAAGAGTTCCCAAGATCGTCCAGGGCTGACCAAAAATAAGACCAACGTTCAGGAAACACAGGCTGGCTCAGCCTTCTTGGAACTCAGAAACAAGGTGGTCAAAAGAGAACGGGTTTTGGGATCAAACTCAAGAATTTGCTTAAAGTCTTGTCTTTTACTTACCGAAATTCAAGTTCTGAGCCTCAATTTTTCGCACTTGAAAAGTGGGAAAAACAGTAATGTCTTTCTGAGACTGTTGTTAATTGAGGTATTATTTATAAAACATCTAGCAGGCTGCCTAGCACATAGCTGTAATGTGCTAGACAGCATGTAATGTAATGTAAATATAAGTGATACAAATCACCTGTGCCCTTTTCTTGTAGAGAATACAGAGCAAAGTAAGCCTTGAGTAAACGGGAAAACTCTTTTCTCAAAATATCCTTCACTGAGCCTGTGTGGTAGAGCGAGCCTTGGCCTGGTAAATGTAAACTCTTAGTTCTGGTCCAGTCTGTGACAACACTAGCTGGGGACTTTGAGTGACTCACTTCATGTCTTTGGAATTGAGTTCAATTATCTTTAAAATGAGGCAACTGGACTGGATGATCTCTAAATTCCCTTCCAGTGCTAAGATTCTATGATGGCTGAATGACAGTCAGTGATTCTTCCTTTAAGTAGCCCCTTTGGTGTGTGTCACAGGGAGGTGTTGCAATGACACAGGGTGTGGGGAGAGGGAAATATCTTTTAGGTTCTTAAGCATGGCCCTTGTGCTTGGTTTAATGCTCTGCTGTTACAGTCTTAAAATTCTCAATAAATTTTGAACAAGGAGCCCTGCGTTTTCATTTTACACTGGGCCCCGCAAATTATGTAGCCAGTCCATTTCCTAAAAGATGACTATGAATAAACATGAAAGGTTTTGCTGTGAGCAACTAGAGACTGGCAGCTAGAAATCCCTGGGCACTTGAAGAGAGGTGACAGGGTGGGTAAGACAGTTGTCTGGGGTAGAATGGAAGTGGAAGGGGATTTTGCAGAATGGAGACGGCAGGAAGGTGGCGAATGGACACTTTTAATGGACACTTGAAACGCTTCTTTACCTTCTGCTACTTGCTTTCTCTGAACTCTAGTATGAGACTGCCATCTACTGGTCAATGACATGAACTTTTTCTCAGACTTCCAACACAGGGTCTTCGCATTTCAGTGTCTAAAGGGTGTGCTACAAAGGGTTGACATACCATACTCTGCAGTTTGAAACGATAATTATTAAATGCTTCCTCAGTTCCAACTTCCAGACTAAAGTAATACAAAGACTCTTTTTCTGTCCTCCTGAAAAATCCCTAAAGCTACTTTCATTTATTGAACAAAAAATAATTTTTAAAAAGCACTATGTACCAGGCATCAAGTATTCAATGATGAACACCATTGGTAAAGATATTTAGGTCATTAAGAACTTCATCAAATGGATTCAGATTCCCAGGTTCATCTTGCGTCTGAATCAGAATACCCAGAATAGCGTCATCATCTTCAAAACTGGATGGTCATCTAGGGACAGGGTTACACTTTTAGTGTGTGCTAATATGCAGGGTGATGTATAGTTATGACTTTCAGGCCCAATGAGCCACCTTCAGACTGTTGACTGGAACAGACATTACTGGAGAATTGACTGGAAAAGGAGAGCTAGCAAGGCAGTGGCAGAAGACAAAGGAAGTTAGGGGCACAGATGAATGGTGCTCTAGGGGTCTCCACCCACACTGAGAACTCCATCACAATGAAGGGTTACCAGAAGTCCTCTCTTCAGTGATATCTAGATTACCAGGGAGAAGGAGGGACTTAAATACTTGTCCAGTAATTAGTGGTAAGGACTGCTGTGAAGGGAAAAAAGTGGTAGAAATCTGAAGGAGGGCAAGGAAGTTCTCCCAGGATCTCAGCATAGTTTCAAAGCCACATCTCTCAGATTATAGGCAGTGTAACCGGTTCTTTTCAAACAATTCTTACAATCACTATGCCCACTGGAGAATACACCTGACAGCGAAAGAGCAGTACTCTTCCTCCACTCAAAAACAAACAAAAAAGTCCTTTAGGTAAAGAGGATATGCCTAATGCCACTTCTTGGTTTTGCCTTAAACAATTTTTTAAAACAACACAACACGGGTATGTGAACCAGACTTCTCCCCTTGACATATCCTTAGAACAGAAAAACCTGAGGGAGATGGAGCTTATCTCACACACTCAGTCCCCACTGAGTGTTCATCCTGTGTTCCCATAGTACA